GCCCCTACTCGCATGTCTTCACATGAACGAATTAGAATCACATCGTTATACTAGCTACAAAGTGGGCCGCATCCATAGTGTTCCCAGAATAAGACGCCCAACCTTATTCCTATACTATAGACCATTTAGACTGTTAACTCAAACTTGATCCATATTTATGTCTCTAGATAAAGTTTGAGTCTCATGTAACAGTCTAGGATCCATAGTTTAATGGAGTTAGATCTAGTAATAATATTTTATTGGATCAATAACTACTTATTGATTATAACCTTCAATAAGAACTTTATTGAATGATAAAAGTTTATCTGACATTTACAAACTATGAGTTTTTGGAGAAACCCAACAATTACATAGAGAAAATGTTGAGAAATTTTGGTCATTTTGAGAGTAAGCTAGTAGTTACTCCGTTTGATCCAAATTGTAAGTTCAAGTAGAATAATGGTAAAGGTGTATCTTGTCTAGAATACTCTAGAGTTGTTGGTAGTTTAATGTGCATAATGAATTGTACAAGACCTGATATTGTCTATTCAGTAGAAAGATTGACAAGATACACGAGAAATCGTGGGCATGATCATTGGAATGTGTTAGTTAGAGTTTTAAAGTACTTGAAGTACACTTTGGACTATGGATTGCATTATACGAAATATTCATTTGTACTGGAAGGATTTAGTGATGCTAACTGGATCTCTGATAGCATGGAGACTAAGTAAACCAGTGGGTATATATTTACCTTAGGTGGAGCAGGTGTGTCATGGAAATCTTCAAAACAGATGTGTATAGCACGATCTACTATGGAATCAAAGTTTATAGTTCTTGATAAAGCTGGAGAAGAAGCAGAATGGCTTTGAAACTTTCTTGAAGATATTCCGTTGTGGTCGAATCTTGTAAGTGCCATATGTATTTATTGTGACAGCTTAGCAACCTCAATGAAAGCTATGAATAATGTCTACAGTGGGAAGTCACGACACATAAGATGTAGGCATAATTCTATCACGCAGTTGCTCTCTAATGGAATAATTTCCATTGATTATGTAAAATCAAAAGAGAATGTTGCAGATCATTTGATGAAAGGATTGTCAAGAGAGCAAGTTGCTTATACATCGAGAGAAATGGGGATAAAGCCTATGGAATAAAATATCTGGTGGTAACCTAACCTAGTTGACTGGAGATCCCAAGATCTAGGTTCAATAGTCAAACTGGCTGGATAATTCATAGTTGACACACTAAGAAACTTATAGTTTCTTCCCATTTTTATGTTATCATGTGTGTGATCTGTTGATGTTAAGGTCATATTGATATCTTGATTACGAGAGGGCTAGTGGCAGAATACTCTTAGTCAATATCACCTATATGAGAGTAGAATTGAGTCAGTTCTGTGAGAACTTTTCAAATGGCTTATGTTCTCTAAAGCTCTCATGAATTCAAGATCTTGTTCAAGACCAAAATTGACACAACCGTATAGAACTCAGAGATACAAGATAAGTTATGTGTGATATTTGTTGTCTCAATTTATCATGAAAAGGATAGTTCTAGAGCTAGTTCTCACTGTTTCTTCGGTAAATTCGATAAATGTTCACCAAGACAGGTTTAAGTCCAAAAGACACCTCTCTTGGTGCATAACTTATCTATTTGCTCTCAATGTCTTGGTCGTGTTTTGTCTGTCTCACTTTCTTTCATGTAGGGGATTGTTAGATTTTTCAAAGTCTGAAAGAAAGTGGAATTTGAAATATTGATAAACAATTCAATATATATACAAATTTAATATCCGGAAATTAAATTTGTAAGTTCTAATTCACATATAGGTTGTGAATTTTGTTTCATTTTGTTTATCAATTGTTTTTTTTATTTTTTTAGTTGTTATGTTTCTTCATTTTACTAAAATTGAAGTTATATGTTTAAATAAGGAGTTTTCCCTTTATTTTGTTAAAGTTACAAAGTTACATATTTGTAACTTTATGTGTTAAAAACTTGTGACATGTTACTTGTTTTGGACAACTATATATAGTTGTTGTTTTGCTTCATTTTGAGATATCCAAGCATATCAGAATTGGGTCTTCTCCTCCTCCCACAAGAGTTCTCTTTTCTTTTGAGTTCTTCTTCCTGTTTATGTTGAGAGCAAGTATCTAAGAGTTCTGCCAGATCCGAGTAGTTCGAAGTTGCTGTTCTACCGGAGTTAGTCGTTTTATCCTGCTGAGACGATCGATGTAGTCTGCTAGCAACTTGTGCAAAGCGAATAATTGTCTTCAGGTCAGCGTTATTGTAGTGTGCCTCGACTATATTTCGTAAAGATTTTGTGTTCATCAAGCTATCAAGATCTTCTATAATTGTTTGTAGCTAGTTACCTTGTAAATTATTGTTAGTGTTATTTAGTTGGCATATGCAACGTGTATTTATCCAACAATGTTCAATTGTCATCTTTGTCGTATCAAAACTGTCATGTGGTCAGTGAAAAATCACCTCCAACAACACTTAAGGGAGAGAAATGAATTTTTCTTCTAAATTATAATAGATTGTAAAATATTTAACGGTGTTAACCATAAAATTATTCCTTACCATGAAGAAGATTCCTTTGAAAAATACTTGTTCTTTCCAATAATAGATTGTCCTACCCATCCGAAATATCCAGAGGGAACATACATGCAGAGAGGGAACACTTGAAGTCTTGAACACATGCTGGGAGGGTAGACAAAGGGAAAAAAATATGGAAAAAAATATGGAGGGGGAGGGAGAGAGGATAAGAAACAAGGAAAAAAAATGGAAAAGAAAAGATTGTTTGCAAAGCGTGACTTGCGCAACTAATAAAGTCTACGCCCCATTTTTCTCAAAGTTGCGTAAGCGTCCTATTGTCCTCCAACGTCATAAGTTTGAATCATTCAGCATTCAAATTTGTATTTCTTTTTCCTTAAATATTTTTTTTTTAAAAAATGAAATATATATTTATTTTAAAATTAAAATTAAACAAACATAATTTTAAACCTTAAAATTTTGAAATATTGAAACTTTAATTTTTTCCTTTCAAGTAAATACGTTATGTTTCTATATTTACTAAATTAAATGGTAAACTATATTTACTTTAATAATTTAAAATTAATTCGTACATATACTAAATAATGATGAATATATTGTTTTATTGTTTTACTTTCCATTATTTATATCTGCCAAAGAACAAAAATAGTCTTTTGAACATGGAAAACGAAGAAAGGTCCGAAGACACGAATGACCTACCTTCGTACATAGCCATGGAACCACCCAAGTAAAATCTCATTTGGTGGAGGGTCTTGTCCATTTCCAACCTTCCGCATTTTCGTATGACCTTTAGCAACGAACCATTTATAACATAAATAGCCAGTCGGATACATTTTCAGACCTTCAATAATATAAGGTATCACATTTTAGTTGGGTCTTAATATCAAAGACGAATTTATAGTGACTTTAACGTCAACGTTTCGACTTTCTTGTGTAGGTCTTCCCTGACAGGTGACACTCAAGCTCTTTCTCAATTGCCTACCCTAGTCTTGATAAAAAAAAAAAAAATGGGTAAACAATATCTAACCAAATTTAATTTTATTAAAAACTCTTTACAAAATGTTTCAAAATAATTTATTAGGTCTAAAATTATATTGGGAAAAAATCATTTTTTGCTTGGAAAATAGTTAAGTTGTATTAATTTTCTCATGAACTTTAAATTTCAACAAATTTAACTTAAATTGAGAGAAGTGATGTAATTTTTATGGTCTATTCATACTTCACTGGTTCACCTATTGATTTAAGCGAAAACAACAGGAAAAAAAGAAACATATTATTAATAGAGATTGAACTTACAAATTCGAACAAAATTTGATTTAACAGTTTTGTTAAAATAAACTTTTGGTAGATTTTGTATTCAGTCCCTAAGTTTAGAAACTAACAATTTGGTAATGGATATTTAGAAAATAGTTCTAAAGAGATTTTTGGCGTTAAATATTTTTCCCTGATAGAATAGTGATGTGGCAGCGGTGAGCCAACAAGTTTTAGATAACATGATAATAGTTATTAATTTTATAATTTTTTATTTTGCGATATTATTTATCTCTTTTGAACGAAAATTTCATTCAATAACCATTAATAACTATTTTTCTAAAGATAAAATATAAAACTGTCAGTTTTTGAAATTGAGAGATCACAAACCTATACTCAAATTCACCAACGAAAATGTATTTTACCCAATTTGGTTATGTCTAAATTCAATCAAATTCATACCAAATATACGTTTTATAATTTATTTGACATGTATGAGAATAATTTTAGTTTTAAACAAAACTTTGACGAAAATCTACTAATGTATAAAAATTTACAACACTCTTTAAATTTGGGTCAAATGTTGCAATACTTATCTAAATTTAATATGCAACCCATAAAATGAAGACTTTAGTATTATAAATTATACACCAACCTTAAAATTGTTTTTTTCCCTATAATATTTATATAAATTTATGACTTCCATATAAAATTTAGTATTATAAATTATACACCAACCTTAAAATTGTTTTTTTCCGAATAATATTTATATAAATTTATGACTTCCATATAAAATTGTGGATCCGCTATTGGTGCAGGAACACATGGATAATATTTTTTCCAGAGAGATTCTTAGTTCACACCGTATGACCCCAATGAATAATATTATTTTCAAATTTATCTCATATATCTCATATGGCTGAGAAATAAAAATTTCAAACACTCGGCCAGAGCCAGAAGAATCCTTTCGCCGTTCCATTTTTATAAAATTTCTTGTCGCGTGTGAAACGTATAAGAGAAAACGTGACCCCAACACAATAATATATATTGGGAGACCAATGGGAAAGCAAATAAATTAAGTCGTTTTACATTTTACCTAAATGCAAGATTGAGATCCCACTTCCACTTAGCTTCCACATTGTTGGTTTAATTAAAAATAAACAAAATGTTGGTACTATAAATACCCCAATAACCAGCTTTTATTTTATACCCAAAAACACACATTTGTGATAAGATAATTAGCTAGCCATGGCAAAGAGAGAGATCATTTTTGTCCTTGTCTTATTGCTTTTTATAGCATCGTCCGAGCAAGCTTCTTTCGATTACTATCAAGTGGTGTTTCAATGGCAACCAGCTACTTGCAATGACATAACATTACCCACTCGGTGCGTACAAAACCCAGATAATAGATTCAGTATCCACGGCGTGTGGCCCAGCAAAACATCTGGTTCAAGAGTCGGACCTTGTAACGGCACTGCCTTCGATCCCGCAACTGTAAAGCCGACCTTCTTTACTTTATCATCGGTTTAAGCTTTTGGATTGAGTGGTGGTTTATTCATCCTTAACAATTCTCATATAACTTCATCTGATTATTTACAGATAGTTAGCATACGCGCGGGGCTGAACCAAAATTGGCCGGATGTAATCCGTCGGAAGAACCAAGTATTTTGGAGCGACGAGTGGAGAAAACATGGGACTTGCTCCGAGGACTTGTTAAACCAGCTCCAATATTTCACATTCGGTCTGAATATTTATCACGACGAGGGCAAAGATATAGTTGAGAAATTGGGAAAGAAAAAAATAATACCAAATGGAAAAAAGTACAAGAAGGCAGATGTTGAGAAGGCAATTAGTAGCGTGATTGGTAAGAGGCTAGGATTTCGCTGCAACATCGATCAGTCTAACTATCATCAATTGCATGAAATCAGTTTTTGTTATGCCAAAGATGCTTCCACTCTCCAAGATTGCCCTTCTAATGCTACCAACTGTCCTACAAAGTTCAAGTGGTCTTCCTTCAAGAGAGAACATGTTGAGTTATGAGTTTTTTCTTATAACTCAAGTTTAATTTTGAGTTTTTAATTTTTTAAGTTTCTTTCTTTGATGGTTAGATTTAATTTTATGTTTTTTATCTTTTAATTTTTAATTTTATGACGTGTAAGTTTCTAGTTTTTTAATGTTTCAAATGGTATGTTGGTTACTAAATAGACCAAACATTATAGCTATAAAAAGGTGAGCTTTCATGAGAAGTTTTTATCACCAACATTTGTTTATTCTCAATTGTATCACTTCAATTAGAAGTTGATTTTTCCTCCTATTAAATTCTACTCTCTCGCATTTCATATTTCTTCATTGTTCATCAAACATTGAGAATTTTACTATTACTTCCGCATTATTTTTATCACTCTCATTTTCTCAATAGTGATATCACAACCTTCGATTTAAAAAGATGTGATTTTACTGTGAGCGAGAAAATTTCAATTTCTTATTTGATAATGTCTACAAAATTTGGTGTTACCTCTCCTCCATATTTTAGTGATGAAAACTATTAATTTTGGGTTGTTAAAATGCAATCCTATCTCAAAGCACTTGGTCATTGGGAACCAATTGCAACAGATGCCGATCATGAGCCATTGAGAGAAAAACTGACATTGAATCATATTAGATTACATGAAGAGGAGAAGTTAAAAGCAGCCTAAAGCTTTATCTGTAATCCATGCTTCTTTATCTGACCCTATATTTGCTAGAATTATTGATTATAAAACAACAAAAGAAGCTTGAGATAAACTAGAAGATAAATTTGAAGGAATTATAAAGGTAAAAGCTATCAACTTATTAACTTTCAAAAGAGAGTTTGAGATGCTCAAGATGAAATATTCAGATTCTTAGAGGGACTACACAACGAAAGTGATGACCATTGTGAACCAGATCCGACTAGCAGGTGAAGATTTTACAGATCAAAGAGTTGTGGAGAAACTAATGGTTAGTATTTCTAGCAAATTTGAATCAATGATCCCAGCAATAGAGGAGTCTTGTGGTCTGACTACTCTTTCTATAGATGAGTTAATCGACAAGTTACGAGCTTAAGAATAGAGGGATACAATGCTTAACGAGGAGCATGTTGAAGGTGCCTTTAATGCCAAGTTCAAAAGCAAGACCCCTACTGCACAAGATGATAAAAAAATCAAACAAAGATCGGCGGAGCAAGGGAAAAGTAGGAGCGTCAATGAATGGTAAATTTCCTCCTCGTCATTTTTGTAAAAGGACCAGCCATGCTGAGAAGGATTGTTGGTACAAAAACAAACAAGTCTATCATTGTGACTATTACAATAAGGATGGTCATACGAATAAGTTTTGTTATGCTAAACAAAACCAAGCCCAAAATCCGCAGCAACAAGCAAATTGTGTAAACAACAATTAGGAAACAAATTTGTTGTATATGACTTCTCATATAAGTGACAACAAGTCAACCTCATGGCTAATTGATAGTGGATGCACTACCCATATGGCTAAAGATATAAATCATTTTAGCCAGATTGACAAATCTATGTAGTCAGATCAATTGTGGTTATTGGATATGGTGAGACGACTCTAGATCAGGATTGTGTTATTATGACCCTCGTGGAGTAGGATGGACGTTGGTGTGGATTATTAATATTGATGGAGTTCCATCTCAAAACCAATTGGCAATGAGAGGAGTAGCCCATGTCTATTATAAACCATTGTTAGGTCCCTTCTCTTTTCGACGTGGGATCCTTAACATACCCCCTCAAGATGGTGGCTCTTTTGGCTCATCGATCTTGGCCAGGTCCC